TGGTCACACAGCCCTCAAACTCATTAAACAAATGAGAAAACCCAATGCTGGAACAACTGAGTGGTGCAAACGGTTAATGCACTCACCTGCTAATGGAAAGGTTGGTGGTTCAAGTCCACCCAAAGATACCTCAGAAGAAAGGCCTGGTGATCTACTTCTGAGAAGTCAGCCGTTGAAAACCAGATGGAGTACAGTTCTACTCTGACTCACATGGCATCGTCATGAGTCAGAATTGACTCAACAGTAAATGATGGTTGGCCTCCAAGACTGAGGTCTAGACCCCAATCATGGAGAGAAATGGTAAGAAAGAAAAGCAAATTGCAGATTCCAAATGCAGGAGGAGTCAGGAAGCTACCAGCATTAGCACCACCTGACCTCCTCACCCACTGTAGAAACAGACCCTACTACAAGAAAAGGTGCATCTGACCCAAGACATGGTATGTTCAATTGTCACATGCACCCGAAAGCTAGACAATGAAGAAGGAAGACTGAAGATTAGATGCCTTTGAGTTATGATGTTACCAAAGAATATTAAATATACCACGGTCTGCCAGAAAAACAGACAAATCGATCTCGGATGAAGTATCTCCAGAATGCTCCTTAGAAGTGAGGATGACAAGACTTTGTCTCATGTTCTTTTGCCATGTTATCAGGAAGGACCAGTCCCTGGGGAATGACATCATGCTGGGTACGGTAGAGGTTCAGCAAGAGAGAGGACCTCCAGTGAGACGGACGGACACGGTGGCTGCAACAGCGGGCTCAGACATGGCAGGATTGGTGAGGATGGTGCAGACCGGGCAGTGGTTCCTGCTGCACGACAAGACAGTGTCTCATTCTGCTTCACAGAGGGTCTCCATGAGTTGGAACAACAACAGTGGATCTCAACGTGTGGTCCCTGGATCAGTGGCATCAGCATCGCCTGGGGACTTGTGAAAAACTGCAAATTCTCAGGCCAAACCCCAGACCTGCTGAAGCAGAAACTCTATGGATGGGAACAACCAATTTGTGTGTGTATGTATGTGTGTGTGTGTGACATCTTTATTGAAGTATAACTAAGAAACAAGCACTACTGCAAAAAGTCAAGAAAAGGTTTACACACAGGAAAAAAAAATACATTCTTTGAAGGTTACCAGGGGTGGGAGGGGAAGAGAGGGTAAATCATTAACTAGAGGGTAGACATGTATTAACTTGGTTGAAGGGAAAGGCAACAAGGGGGAGGGGTCAGCACAAAATGATCCACACAAAGGATGACACTGGGAGGAGGGCAAGAGTTCAAGGGAACAGAGGTAAATAACTAGTCCATGCACAATCCCGCCATACAGTAATAACAACCACCTACGTATGAGTGGATACGTAGATAAACATGCAAGCTGAACAGGTGTGGGGATGCAAATGGAACTACACCCATGAATACATGCAGGTTTGACAGAGGATGTCTCTACATATGTGTTTATATGTGGTACAGATTATCCATGAATAAAGTAGTACACAAGGAGCTCTAGTGGTCCAGTGGTTAAAGCATTTGACTGTGAACCCAAAGGTCGGCTGTTCGAACTCACCAGCTGCTCCACAGGACACAGATGAGGCAGTCTGCTTCCGAAAAGATTTACAGCCTTGGAAGCCCTAAAGGGCAGTCTATTCTGTCCTACAGGGTCACTATGAGTCAGCGTCAACTCGATGGCAGTGAGGATGGTGAGTACACAAGGGGTAAAGTTATGAAAACTTCTTAGCCATAACCAAACACCTTGAGAACGTGAGTCACTGGGCTTGGGGGCCCAGGACTATAATCTCGGGGGACATTGAGGTCAGTTGGCATAACATAGTCCATAAAGACAATGTTCTACATCCTACTTTAGTGAGTATCGACTGAGGTCTTAAAAGTTTGCGAGCAGCCATGTACGGTGCAACTATTGGTCTCTCCTCATCTAGTGCAAAGAAGAGTGAAGAAAATCAACGACAGAAGGAAATTAGTCTAAAGGACTAATGGTCCACTCAAATTCCAGCGTCCACAACCTTGAGATGGGAAGAACTAGATGGTGTCTGGCTATCACAGCTACTGCTCTGAAAGGGATCACAATAGGAGGTCCTGGATAGAGTGGGACAAGAAAGTGAAACAATACTCAAAATCACAAAAAAGACCAGACTTACTGGTCTGGTAGAGACCGGTGGAACCCCCAAGGCCAAGGCCCTTAGACACCCTCCAAACCTGGACCAGAACTCACCCTATGGCTCAATTTTCAGTCAAACAATAGGCAGAAACACACTCCTTAGAATAATCAACCAGAGGAGATCCAAAGGGCGTCATTTGCCCAGGAATAAACCTCAGAAGGCAGTAAGCAATAGGAAAGAAGGACCAATGGAAACAGTAAACAGAGGGAGAAAGTGGGAAGAGTGCTGTTACATTAAGGGGATTACAACCAATGTCACAAACAAAATGAATATGGGTAGATTGTTGAACAGAAAACCAATTTGCTCTATAAACGTTCACCCAAATCACAGTAAAATAAATAAACTGTTCATCTTTAAGATGTACAATTTGTTAAGTTTTGGCAAATATAGCTATGAAGCCATTACCACGATAAAGACTATCTGCATCACCCCTAAAAGTTCCCTCTACTGTCTCTCTCCACGTCTCTCTGTGTCTCCCTCCGCCCCACCCCAGCCCCAGGCAATCACTGACCTATTTTCTGTCCCTATAGATTAGTTTGCATTTTCTAGCATTTCACATGAATGGAATCAAACAGTATGTACTCTCTTTCATCTGGGATATTTCACACAACATAATTATTCTGAGAATTACCCATATTCTGGACACATCAAACATTTTGATTGTTCAGTAATATTCCATTGTATGACTAGAACACAATGTATTAATCCATTCACCTGTTGATAAACATTTGAGTAGTTTCCAGGTTTGGGCTACTACAAAAAAAACTGCTATTGAACTTTCGTATAAAAGTTTTCAACTGGACACACATGTTCATTTTCCTGAGTGTGTACTCCTAGAGTAAACTGGCATGTCATGTGGAAAGTGTACCTTTAACTTTTTAGAGAAACTACTGAAATGTTTTCCAAAATGATTGTACTATTTCGCATACCCACCCACAGTGTATGAGCATTCCAGTTGCTCCAAATTCTCACCAGCACTTGATAAAATCAATCTTTTTAAATGGAGCCTTTCTAGTGATTGTGTTTGGTATCTAATCGTAGTTCTAAGTTTCATTTTTTTAATAACTAATGATGTTGAACATAGTTTCATCTGTTATCCATTATAATCTCTTTAGTGAAATGTATGTTGAAATCTTATGCTCATCTTTTTATCAGGTTGTTTTATTTATGACTTTTGAAAATTAATTATACATTCTGGACATGAATCTTTTATCAGATGTGTAATTTGTAAATTGTTTCTCCCAGTCTGTGGCTTGTCTTTTCATCTTAACAGTATCTTTCAAAGAGCAAATATTCTTAATTTTGATGAAATCCAATTCATCAATCTGTTCTCTTATGGATATGGTGCCATATTTAAGAAATCTTTGCCTTTCCCAGGTTACCCTGGGATTTTCATCTTTTTTTTTTTTTTCTTTTTCTGGAAACGTTATGGTTTTAAGTTTCACGTTTAAGTCTAAAATCCATTTTGAGTTAATTTTTTGTATATGATGTGAGGTATAGATTGAAGTTCACTGCTTTTGCATAAAGATATCAAAGTGTCCCAGCACCTTTTGTTGCCAGGACATGTAGCTTTGGAAAGAGGCATTGGAGTGGTAGTGACCCATCACCATCTTCTGCCTGATGAACTCCTACTAATCCCTCAAAACCCAGCTCAAATGTTCCTTCTGCTGAGAAATCTTCTGCAACTGAGGTCAAGTAGCTCTCTCACACTCCTTTGGCTCCCACAGCATCTTGTGCAACCTTTAGTATATTCTTATCCCACATTATTGCATTAATTTTTATTCCTGGTGGCACAGTTGTTAAGCACTTGACTGCTAACCTAAAGTGTCAAACCCACCAGCCACTCTGAATGATAAAAAAAAAACAACCATCAAGTCAATTCCAACTCATAGCCACCCCTCTATGGTTTCCAAGTAGGTTGCCTCATCTTCCTCTTATGGAGCAGCTAGTAGGTTCAAACCACAGACCTTTTGGTTAGCAGCCCAATGTCTTAATCACAGTGCCACCAGAGCTCCCGCTGCAAATTCCCTGGTAATTTGTTCCTGTAAAGATTACAGTATAGGGGATCCTATGGGGCAGTTCTGTCTCATAGGGTCTCTATGAGTCAGAATTGACTTGATGGCACATAACAACAACAGTAACAATTGCTCCTGTTAGAGTGAAAATTCATGGATGAGGGCCATAATCCCAGCATTAGCACAGGCCTGCCCCGGTGGTGGTGGTAATGAGAAGGGAGGAGCTCAGAAAACTGTTGTTAAAATATAAACAAATGATAAAATAATAAACAAACAAGGGAGCCATTTGCTTTTTCAAGCAACTGAACACTCCTCTTCCAAGGGCTCCCTCACAGCCCACACTAATGTCATTGTACCCACCCACACTGATCACCAACAGTATTTCCTATCAGAACTCTATTGACTGATCCAGGCCAAGCTCTGGACTAAGCACCTTATGAACGTCATCTCATGTAATCCTCACAACAACCCACAAGGTAAAATACTGCTACTATCTTTGTTTTACCAGAGAAGACACAGAAGTTCAGAGAGGTTCAGTTCCACGCCTGAGTTCACATAGCTAATAAGTGAAAGAGCTGGGGTTTGAATGCAGACAGTCCGCTTCCTGAAGTCTCTGCCTTAACTTACATTGATACCAGCTCCTGGTTCATTGTTCTCGTACAAGCCCAAGGTCGTACAAAGGCATCCCCTGCTTCCCTGACATGACCAGCCCTTACCAACTGCACACTCCAGTCAGTGGCAAAGGAGACAGACTTCACCGAGGACCCCGACCCCATCCTGGCCCAGAGGACACAGTGTGGAAGGATGCTTCCTTACCTTGGACCACACGCCCATCCCAAAGGAATTGCTGTCCGCCATTTGGTGTAGGTAGAGCTCCGTCCTGGAAGCAGAGAATCAACTGGGAGTAAGGGGGCATGCCCACACCAGTGTCTAGGCAGGGCAAATGGTCACCAGGGTGTGGGGCTCCCCTTGACGTCAAGGTGGTCCCAGTGCCTCCAGAAGCCCTGACTTCATGGATCTGCCTGGGACGGTTCCCTCCTCCTGAGTATTCCTCATTCATCCCTCAGCAGAAGAAAGAGTCATGGCCCAGAATCACTGGTTGGATAGAGACTTGTGGAACCCGGAGATTATGGCTCTGGCCTATCCTTTGGGCCTGGAACTGGACTCGCTTCTGTGGATTAGCTCTCAGCCAAATAGTAGAAAGGCCTACAAACAGAACGCCCAACCCAGGGAGATGCAACCACCTACTCCAGGAGCTGCACTCCTTAGAACAATCAACTATGTGAGATCAGGAAAGCAGCATTGGAGCAGGGGAAAGTTGGACAGACAGGAATGCATAGATAAGAAGGACACAGGGAAGGGGTGGTCACAGGGAGGAGAGGGGATAGTTGTTTATTGTTGGGATTGTAATCAGGGCCACGAAACGAAATGTGTATGAACTGTGGAGCGCCAACAACCCTGCTTTGTAAAATTGCATCCAAATCACAATAAAAAAATTAAAAAAAAAAAAAAGGGAGAGTCAAGGAGTAGTCAGGTATGTGTAGTCTTGCCCACCAGCCAACATAACCAAGCCCCTGCTGTATACTAAGTGCCAACATGGCTCATAACAACACCAACCAATGTCGTTGTTGTTAGTTGCCGTCAAGTTCATTCTGATTCATGGTGACCCCATGGCTTTCAGAGTAGAACTGTGCTCTGTAGGGTTTTCTTGTCTATAATCTTTCCTGGAAGCCGATCTCCAGGCCTTTCTTCTGAGACTGGGTGGCCTTGATCCTCCAACTTTTAGGTTATCAGCTTGGTTAGTACATTAGCTGTTTGCACTCAGGCAGCTGGAATCCAGGGGCCACATTCATAACTTCTCAGCTCTGGGCAGAAGCTCAGCCTGCACCTTGTGAAGGGGCCCTCAGCTTCCTGCCCTCAGTGATCCCTGCCCACCCAGCACTCACCTGAGATCCATGTCCAACCCAGCCAGCATTTGGGAGAAAACTTCGAAGTTGCCTTCCCCGTCTGGCTGCCGTGCCACACGACTCTTTTCCAAAAGCATAGTCTGTGGAGGGAGAAGGAGGGTGCTGGGCCAACAGTTGGATGCATCTTTGGGTGCATCTGCCCCAGGCCTTGTGACCAGGTACGCAGTAGGCCCCATTAGGGCGCCCTAGCCTGACCCACCCTTTGAGAAAAAATTGCAGGTCTAAACCTTTGCTGGTATCTTCCATATCAAAACTGCTCAATCCTTTGTTTCATTCATTCTGAGTCCAACTAGGAAAATGAACTAAAGCAATAGACTCATACCAATTAAAGTATCAAAATGTGTTATTATAGTTAGTGGCCCTCAATTCAGACCTGACTCACGGCAATCTTCAATTAAAGTATCAAAAGGTGTTGCTGTTGTTAGTTGCCATGAGTTGGTATTGACTCATGAAAACGAAAAGCAAAGATTTCATATCAGTTGGTTCCACAGTCAACACGAATGGAAGCAGCAGTCAAGAAATCAGATGATGTATTGCACTGGGCAAATCTGCTGCAAAAGACCTCTTTCAAGTGCTGAAGAGCAAAGACATCTGCTCGAAGACTAAGGTGTGACTAACCCAAGCCATGGTGTTTTCAATCACCTCATATGCATGTGAAAGCTGGACAGTGAACAAGGAAGACTGAGGAAGAGTTGATGCTTTTGAGTTGTGCTGTTGGCAAAGAACTCTGAGAGTACCATGGACTGCCGGGAGAACTAACAGATCTGTCCTGGAGGAAGTATAGCCGGGATGCTCCTTGGAAGTGAGAATAGCCAGACCTCATCTCACCTACTTTGGTCATGTGGTCAGAAGGGACCATTCCCTGGTGAAGGTAAGGTGGAGGGTCAGCTAAAAAGGGGGAGACCCTCAACGAGATGGATTGACACAGTGGCTGCAACGATGGGCTCATGCATAGCAAGGACTGTGAGGCTGGTGCAGTGTTCCGTTCTGCTGTACACAGGGTCGCTATGAGTTGGAGCCGACTCCACAGCAACAACACAGCGACAACATGGCGACCCTGTGTGGAACAGAATGAAGTGTTGCCCGGTCCTGAGCCATCTGCATGATGGTTGGTTGGTTTGGGTTCATTGTCGCAGCCACTGTGTCAATCCATCTCACCACGTGGTCCCCTAACTTTTACTGACCTTTTTTACCAAACAGGACGTCCATCTCTAGCAATCGGTCTGTCCTGATGATACATCCAAAGCAAGCAAGTTGAAGTCTTACTGTGTTTGCTTCTAAGTAACAATCTGTCTGTATTTCTTCTAAGACTGAATTGGTCATTCTTTTGGCAGTCCGTACTTAAATGGGGCACGCTCAAACATTCTTTTTTAAGAGAGTCCTTTAGTACCTTGACCCAAAAGGTAGTTAATGGTAGGATTTCAGGGCCAGGACTGAAAAAGGACTTATTTGGCACAAGGAACATGCTGTGAGTCTGGAAATTATCTCAGCTCCACATACAAACAGCCCTTCTAATAACCTAATCCTATTTTCTGTTCAAACAGAATGTTTGAGGGGGAAAGGGGAGGGTGTGGGTGATTTTGGAGATAAGAACAAATAGGCCATGTGTTTGTCACACACAGACGGCCGCATAAGGCTGGGGCACGTCTGTTTAATTTCAGTGTGGACTTTTAACAACCATCTAATGAGCGGCTGAATTATATATTTACTCATGAATATTTCATCCCCACGATATTCCGAGGCATGGACTGGAGGGGATGTTCCAGGACACTGAGCGAGGTGATTAGGAGCTGGTCACAGTGACAACCTAGACACATTCCCAAGCCCCAACTGGAGGTGTGGGCTGTGCTGCGTGGAGCTGGGGACACTGTCACCCTGAGGACCCTGCCTCACCCAAGGGACTCACCTGGAGGTGAGCAGCTGTGACGCGGCCTGTAGCATTGAAGTCCAGAGACATCACCATAGAGAACCGGGTGGCGCTGCGGCTGTGACCCGTGGACACGGAGCCGAAAGCTCGGAGCACGGTGAACATGGCATGGATCTTTCCCACTGTGGGGGCATGGGAGGGTGCATCACCAATGGCCCAGGCGCTGCCACCCCACTACACACACACCCCTCTCCCAGGACCACCTTCCCCACAGGTTCCCATCCCCAGGCCAAGTCCCATCCTGGCCCAGCCCCCATGGGCTCCCTGCCACCTCCACAACTGAGTTCTTCACCATACACATACACTGACGTGTGGGTAGGGGTGGCAGGGGTGCCCTAGGGGCCTCTCAGGCCTGGTGGAGCCCAAGAGAAGGCCTCCCACCCACCCACTGTCATTGAGTTGATTCCAACTCATAGTGACCATATAGGACAGAGTAGAACTGCCCCCATAGGGTTTCTAAGGCTGTAAATCTTTACAGAAGCAGATTGCTACATCTTGCTCCCATGGAATAACTACTGGGCTTGAACTGGCAACTTTTTGTTAGCAGCTAAGTGCTTTAAACCCTGTACCACCAGAGCTCCTTAGGAGGAGGGCAGGGTGTTAATATTTTCAGATCTGCTCTCAGGGAGCTTCTGTCCTAGCAGTGGGACTGCAAAGCCCTGTAGTCCCTCCACAACTATTTATTGAACACCTACTATGTGCGAGGCACTATGCTAGGCACCTGGATACAGTGTATCCTGATTTCCACACTCATGTACCCTCTTCTAGCGGAACTGTGTTCTGGGAAGGCAGGGGTTGGAGCCCCTCCCACTCCTGGTACAGGCCGGGTATACAGTAGGTGCTCAGTGAAACAATGGAATGAGTAGAGAGGCAGCACAGTCCAGTGGTTAAGCGTCAGCCTCCTGAGTCTGAATATAGGATCTGCCTTTTGCTAGTTCCCGGATTGGGGCAAATGAGTTAAGCTCCCTGTGTCTCCAATATCCCATATCTAAGTCTCAGATTCTCCATATCTAACACGGGAACAATAGTACCTACTTCCTGTGGTTGCCGTGAGGATTTAAAGATTTAATGATGTAAAGTGTTTAGAAAATGTTCCCTATGTGCTGCTGTTAATACTATTTTTTAATTATTATTAGAAAAGCAATTGGTCATGCAACTCTCAGTGGGGGTGTATTGCCCCCATGAAGGGGGAACCTGATTCTTGGTGGGGGAAGAAGATGTTTACTCTTTTTCTCTATATAAAGCACAAATACATGTATATTATATCAGCAGATATGCAGTGTATTTGTGGTACTAAAATTTCACGCAGAAGCTCTGGTAGTATCGTGCCTAAGGCATTTGACTGCTAACCAGAAAGCTGGCAGTTCAAACCCACCAGCCATTCCTCAGAAGGAAGGTTGGGCAATCTACTTCCATAGTGATACTGCCTCGGAAACCCAAGGAGGGGTTGCTATGAGTCGGGTCCGACTCAACAGCACATAACAACAACAACAACAAGGCTCCTAAGGGAACTGATACTAAAACAAAGGTTGCAAAACACTGGCCCTATGGTTAAGGGTCTGGAAAGACTGCCTGGGTTTGAATCTCAGCCCTAGTGTTTATTAACTGTGTGGCTTTGGGCAAGCTAGTACCTTCTCTGACTCTCAATGTCCTCATCTGCAAAATTTCAATAATTCTACCTTATAGGCCTGCTCTACATAATAAAAGAAGGTGCCATCTAGTCGACGCCGACTCATAGCAACTCCATGTGTGTCAGACAGAGTAGAACTGCTCCACAGGGTTTTCGGTGGCTGTGATATTTTGGACACAGATTGCCAGGCCTTCCTTCTGAGGCACCTCGGGATGGATTCAAAGCAGGAATTTTTCCATTAGTAGCCAAGTGCTTAACCCCTGGCACCACCCAGGGATGGCTGTAAATAATCAATAGGTTAATATACTTGGCATTGGGTCAGGCATCTAACGGTTCGAAAGTTTTCGCCACAATCATTACCATTATTATTAATTAGCCCTCTTCTGTTCAGGCCCAGCTCAAATGTCACTTCCTCAGGGAAGCCCTTCCAGGTCCCTCCTCTGTGTCTCTGCCTCAGCCCTAACCAGCGCAGTGAGCACTTTTTGAAGAGGATCGGAGGTTAGCACATATGTGCGGGTGGGTCATCCCATGAGCAGAAGCCCTGCCCCCCTGCCTTTGTTTATTGGGTCCTCTGTACAGTTCACCAGGTTGTGCACTGCACGAGCACATCAGCTCTGATGGAGCCGCATCCACGTCACATTAACACAGATTTGCATATTTCTCAGCATAATTTCCCAACAGATGGCAGTCAAGTGTCTGGCTCTAATCACTTCAATGTCTGATGACTGTCCAGAGGATGGGATGAGTGCCCATTTCTAAGGCAAAAGTGCCCAAAGGACTAGGGCCCTCGTCCGGCAGCAAGCACAGGGTCTGCACATGTGTGCTCAGTAAACACAAGCTGCAGGGATGAAAGGAGGGACAGCCCAGCAGCCCCCGCCCCGCTCTCAGCCCTGCTAGGTTGCCACTGGAGACCACTGTACCTGAGACCGTGTTGTCCACACTGCCTGCCAGCCCCACCAGGTGCTCCAGGACCTGTTCACAGCAGGTGGTCTTCCCAGCACCACTCCGGCCCAGGGCTACAATGCCCTGGTCTCTCCGCTGACTCAGCAGTGCCCAGTATGCCCGCTGGGCCAGGGAGCTGATGTGGGCAGGCAGGCCGTCCCAGCGGCCCCTGGGCACCTGCAGGAAGACCCAAGGTTTCAGCCCTCCTACCCAGCTGGCACCCAGGGAGCACTCTGAGACCGTGCCCCATCCTAGGGCTCAGGTCCAGATCCATGCCCCCGGCTCCCATCCCAGTATCACTGGAGAAGCCTCAGCATTTTATCAGCAAGAGCCCCAGCCTGGGAGTCTAGCTCTGCCACGGACTCACTGAGCTTTCTTGGGAAGCCCACCACCCATCTCTGGGCCTAGATCTCCTCTTTGGGAGGTGAGAGACTTGAACTGGAGCTACATTGGCCTGTGGGACTCATCTCACTCACTACTCAAAGCAGTGCAAGTGAGGCCACTGGATAAAGCAGCAGAATTGATTAGTGATGTCTGCCATGTAAATAGGGATTAGGCATGGCAGATGGGGGCATGTGTGTCGTGTATCTGCCACAGCAGACTTAGATGGTACCCAAAGTTCCTTCCTCGTCATTTATTCATCCATTCATTCACTCATTCATACTTCACTTAATAAAAAATTTTATGGAGTGTCTGCTATGTAGCAGACACTGTCTTTGGCACTGGAGGCACAAAACTTAACAGAACAGATAGAGGAAATCCTTGCCAGTGACCAGATATTAGAATGGCTAAAAAGAATTAAATTTTTTACTGGTTAATACCAAGTGCTGACAAGGATGTGGAGCAAAGGAAACTTTCATACATTGCTGGTGGGAATGATAAAGAATAAATCCTTCTGGAAAATGACTCTGCAGTTTCTTGTAGTTAGATGTATGCTTATCATTCAATGTTATCATCATTCAGCAATCCTACTCTGAAGCATTTATCCAAAGAAATGAAAATGTACATTCACACACAAAAAAATAATAACCCTAGACATGCTTGGTTAAAACCAAAAACCCACTGCCATCGAGTTGATTCCGAATCATAGTAACCCCCATTGGGTTTCCGAGACTGGAAATCTTTACAGAAGTAGATTGCCTCATCTTCCTTCCACGGGGCAGTTGGTGGGTTTGAACCACCGACCTCCTGGTTAGCTGCCAAGTGCCTTACCCACTATTCCACCAGAGCTCTTTGTATATGCTTACTTGTAGCAGCTTTTTTCAAAATTACTAAAAACTAGCAACAACTCAACTGTCCTTAGTGAGTGAACAAGGATAACCACCCATCTTGGTCCTTGCACTGGAAGTCCCTCACCCCAGGAAACCCCTCTGTGCTGGGAAAAGTGGGATGGTTGGTCACCTTATGAACAAATAAACAAACTCCTGCATCCGTCCAAAGAAATAAAGGCACACAGACCACTGACAGATTAGCAACGAAACCGATAAATCTCTGCTGTAGTATGGTAAGTGGAGAAGCCAATCACACACAGTTACCAGTTGCGAAATCAATTCCAGCTCATGGCTACCCCACATGTGCCACAGCAGACCTGTGCTCAGTAGGGTTTTCAGTGGCTGGGTTTTCAGAAGTAGATTGCCAGGCCTTTCTTCCACGGCACTCTGCATGGACTTGAACCTCCAACCTTTTGATTGGAAGCTGAGCATGTTAACATAACAGTTAACTCTGTTACATACTGTACAGTTCCATTACCAAGCCCTTTTGAAAAAAGGCAAAACTAAGGGACAGAAAACATGTCTGTGGTTGCCAAGGGTAATGTTGGGGTAGAGATGACTACAAAAGGGCCTGGAAGAACTTTGTAGGATGGGAGAACTGCTCTGTATTTTGATTGTGGTATTGGTTATGTAACTGTACATGTTTGTCAAAAACGTACAAACCATACACTGAAAAGAGACAATCTTGTCATACATAAATTATACTTCAATAAACCTGACTTTCCTAAAATGCTGGCCCCTGTGGAACTAGTTCTCTTGTGGGAAGAGACAGATGATAAACAAAAGCAATAATTAAATTAGAGTGAATGCTAGTCATTTTAAAGCCAGGAGCCTGAATGAGATCACCAAGGAGGTGGGTGTTGAAAGCGAAGAAGAGAAGTGTGGGGACAGGGGCACCCTGACGTGGAGAGGTCAGGGAGACATGGGGCAGAGAAGGAAGCTGAAAAGGAGCAGCGAGGAGACAGAAGGAAAAGCAGGAGAGTGGAATCCTGGATCTGAGGAAGGGAGTGTCTCTAGGAGGAGGGAGTGATGGGCCAGTCAAATGCAGCTGAGGGTCAAGTAAGACAAGATGAGAGAATTGACCAATGGGTTTGGCGGCATGGAGGGTACTGGTGCCCTTGACCAAAATCTTAGAGGGAAAGGAAGAGGCCAGAGAAGACAGTGAGATGAGCCAAAGGGTGCTGGAGGGGGGGCAGGGGGATGGATGGCAGCAGGAGGAAGAAGCCCAAAGTCCAAGGATGCCAAGTGGGTGACCCCTCCCACTGCCTCAGCTAGGCCCCATCTGTCCCTCCTTCAGGGCCTTGGCAGAACCAGGGGCACAGCTCCAGTGTGGTGCCCTTCCACACCCTGACCTCCAGCCTGGACTTCAGGGGTCCTCCCAGCCACCGCTGGCCTTCCCATCCCCAGGCCCTATGCTGATACAAAGCATGGGACCTTAAAGCTGGCAAAGAAGGGGCAGGCCCCGTATGGGCTGGATACAGTCCTAGGGCATCCACCAGGGATGAGGTCCTGGGTTCAGGGCACTGGAGCCACTCCCAATCCAGAAAAAAGAAACAGCAAAGGACAAGCCACCGTATTCCCTGACGCCCTTGGAGTCAACTGCCTGGAGGAAAGAAGGAAGAATTCTGAGGACTGGTCCCCTATGTGTGACTATAGGTACATTTGTGCACACGTGCCCTTGCACACATGCAGACAGGTGTGTCCACAGCACACACACCCAACAAATCAGAGGCTCCTGCACATGCAACCATACGCACCTACACCTTGTGTGGACCTGCACACCCCCAGGTACACAAGCAGCTCCCAGACGCGCACTAGGCTAAGTCCCCACAGGGAGAGAGGCCCCCAGCCCTGCCCCCAGCCCCACCCAGCCCATCTTCAATTCAAGGTGGCCCCAGTCCCAGCCTCATAGATGGGTCTGTGCTCCCACCTGGTGGCCATTTGGGGAACCGGCCGTGACTCAGGCAGAGGACAAGGGCTGCAAAGGCCTTGGGTGTAGGAGGCCAGACGACTTGAAGGAAGCATGGATGCAGCCCAGCATGGCCATCACCCCATCCTAGGGCTATGAATGGGCTTAGGGGGTTCACATGGCTCAGACTGCACCCGACAGGGCATGTCAAACGCCTGTGCTTTCAGACACCCGTGCTCACATCTGAAGCAGGTCAGGCTTCAATCCGTGATAGACAACGCAGACCCAGTGTGTCTCAGGCCTGTAAAATGCCCGACCTCAGAGTTCTAAGGGGCCAGAGGTGTCACCTCACTTCCTGGGAGGCTC